AAAATACTTTAACAACTATTTTTATAACTATATTAAAAAAATACTTTTTTAAACAAATTTTACATATCGATTACAGAAGCATAGACATAATATTTTGGTGTTCAAGATGGAGCAAACTCCAAGCATTTATATGTTTATATTTTTATATTATGTTTATATTTAGGTCAACAAAAAAGCACCAAAATTTAGCCCCCTCCTGCCTCAAACGTGAAAATAACAAGTTGATAAAAACTTTTTTGTACTATTCTCAACTAGACTTATATTCATCTAAAAAATTTTAAGTTTCGTAGTATAATCTCTCAGCGTTCAAAAATTATGACTGTAAAAAATTTGTAACCCCTTCCAACTGAGTGGGTTCAAACTATGTAAGTTCATAATATTTAAATGCTGAGAGGTTTTCCTATGAAACTTAAAATTTATCGATGAGTATAAGTCTAGTTGAGAATAATACAAAAAATATTTTATCAACTTGTTGCTCTCACGTTTGGGGATGGGGAAGGGCTAAATTGCAGAATAATTTAATCAGTATTTTGTTAATTTAGGTTCTAACTTAGCAACAAAAATAGAAACCACAGAAGTAAAATTCTAATCCTATTTAAATTCTAATAATATCAATCTAATGGACAATAATAAACTTACGGAAAGAGAACTGTTATATGCAGCGTTTTTTTTTTTAAACCTAAAAAAAAGATTACGATATGATAATATTAGTAGTTGTGTCCTTATAAAATCAATAAAATATATAACTTTTCCATTATTGCACATTTTTAATCTATCTTTAAAACAAGACGTTTGTCTTGAAAAAATTAAAATTGCAAACGTTGTAGCAAATTTTTTAATGTAAGCGTTGTAAATAATATATCAATTTCTATTCTTTCTTGTTTCTCATAAATACTAGAAAAAATTATGTACAATAGACTTTATTCCTTTCAATAGACTTTCCACTGACCAAGTTATTCATGACATACTTAAAGCATTTGATAAAAAGAAATATACAGTAGGAGTTTTCATAGATCTCAGAAAAGCGTTGGACATAGTTAATCATAACATTCTTCTAGCTAGACTAAAACATTATGACATAAAAAAACTCAAACATTGCTTGGTTTAAAAGTTACTTAACAAATAGAAAACAATATATATTATATGACGAAAGAAAAGCAAAGTATATGACAGTCACATGTAGTGTTCCTCAAGGATCAATACTCAGTCTACTCTTCTTTCTCGTTTATATTAACAACTTATCTTATGGGAACAAGCTTCCTGGTTCGCTTTGATTTGATTGGTAAAAATTTGATAACTAAAAATAAATGTTATTAATAAATATTAGTTAATTACTTTATCAAATAATTATTATTGTAATTTTTCATTTTAAATCAGCTCTTTTATTTTATTCATCTTTGAATATTTATAGGTTTTTATTGTCTTTCAATAAATTGTGTCATACTTTTTTGCTTTTTGCTTTTGTTAAATTATAATATTTCAAGTAATTTTTAACGGTATTAAAGAAAAATCTTACATAATATCTACGTAATCTTACATAATAACTAAATAATCTTACATATATATAAGATTATTTAGTTATTATAGACATATATAAAGCTTTTGATAAAGTTTGGCATGCTGGTCTTTTACATAAGCTTGCTTTGTATGGTGTTTAAATGCTGGTCTTTTACATAAGCTTGCTTTGTATGGTGTTTACGCTATTAAATTTTTTGCGGTGTTAAAAAATTATCATCGCGCATGAATGAATCTTTGGCGCAAAATTTTGATGCTAAATTAATGAAACTTAATTTCCCAGCAAACATGCTATAGCGAGTTCTCAGTGGACCCATATAGGCATTTTGAGCCGGCCGCTGTAGTTTTGTTCCTCGTTTACTTAGTGGACCATTAGTGGCAGCCGCTATAAATGGCAAGCCGATAATTTTTTGACATTTTAATAGTGGCTATTAAAATGTCAAAAAGTAATCATCGACTAGTCACTTTTGGCGGCTGCCAATTTTTGTGTGTGTGTGTGTGTGCTTAAAACGAAGTAGTATTGTCTCAGTAAAAAGTGGTTTAAAATTTGATCTTTAAATGATACGTTTTGTTAATAACGAACCATTATATTCCACAAATTAGTTGTAATTGTCAGGTTAGTATTGTTTTTTTACTTAATGTTATTCTTTTGAGCTAGTTTAAAGCGCTCATATTACCAAGCAGTCTAGGTAATATAAGCACTTTTGCCAATTTTTTAAAAACTTTGTGTTTTTAAGAAGTAAGTGTTTTTAGGTGCCCAAAAGAAGTAAGTGTTTTTAGGTGCCCAAAAGAAGTAAGTGTTTTTAGGTGCCCAAAAAAGTGAATCATAAGTAGTAATTCTTAAAAATTGTTTATTCGCAAAAATTTTAGATCCAGCTTAATTATAAAATTGAACCGGGATAGCTCAGTTGGTTAAAGCGCTGCTATAAAGTTCGAAATACTTATTGGCCGTAGCAGCAGGATTGAAGGTTCAAATCTCGGCTCCGCCTACTCCGCGCAGTACTTGAATACGAAAGGAACTCGTCTCGATTAGCTCTGCTATTACGATGTTTCCTTCTCGGCTATTATATAAATAATCTAGTCGAGTAAAGAAAATAATCGTTTTATTTTTGAAAATATTCCAATTTTTGCTTAAGATGCTCATAATACCTTAACCTACATGTTTATTTAAATATTAAAAGTATTGCATATAAATTCGCGCAATACATAGAATTATTAAATAATTATGCCTAATAATATTAAACTTTGGCTACATTACAAATTATTTAAAAAACAACAAAAAATAAATGTTTGAAATGTTGTGGCAAGCTTCACATTATATCTTAAAAGAATCAATGTAAAGATTTTAAATGAATGTAAACTTTTTCATAATAAATGCATACCGATATATTAAAAAAAATCCAGCTATTTTTATAGCTTTCGCTATAGAGAAAAAAAGATAGCAAATTGAAAATGAATGTAGATAAGCTTTTCAAAGAATTTTTTGAGATATAGACTTTGAATTACTTTTTTTCATGGATACTAGGTTTGTTTTCTTAAACAGTTTAAAACTGAATCAAAACCCTACACCCTTATGTTTTGATTTATTTTGCTATCAAGGTTTCTTTTAAAATAGATAAAATCAATCAAAACTAAAAAATTATGTAGGGGAAGTGGAGTACAATTAGTGAAAAAAACGGTTTTGCCCCCATTGTGAGGCACAACTGCACCCTCACAAAAATCGTTGGGGGTACACCTTTCATGGTACATTTTATTTACAATTTTCACAGCTCAGATTATTTGATGATTTTGTTGCATGTTTGCATAATTTGCAGGCGTTCTTTATATTTACATTTTGAGTTCTGCTCCAGAAGAGAGTTCTGTCCCAGAAGAGAGTTTTTAGAAAGAATTCAGTTTCATAGCTTGCTTATTAGATTATGCTGATATCAAAAATGGTTTTCACTTGATGAAATAATGCTGATAACACATGTCTTTAACACTAAAATCAAATATTGCTCAATTTTCAAAAAAAAGATCTGGAAAAATATGATGTAAATATAAAATTTTTATCAAAATAAACATTATTATGCACAATTTCACAGAAACGTAACAAGCACACTTTTTGACATATGCAAAATGAAGGAAACTGTTTAACTAACGCGTGGTATATTTTTTGCCATATTAGATAATAGTTTTCTAAGGGAAATGTTAAAAAACGGCCTCCTTATGCGGTTATGCCCCTACTTCCCCTAATTATTTTAATTTACTTTGCAATTATTTGAAAATAAAAAGGGCCAACGAAAGGTTTTTGAAGTAAGGAGGAGTGTGGGGGAGGGGGGGAATTATCAAAAATCTAAAAAAGATCCTTTTTATCTTGAAATTTCTACAAAAAAAAAAAAGTGGGGGAGGGTACGAGGGGATCAGGGATCCCCTCGGCCATGTAAAGTTTAAATAATAATAAAAATAATCATGATCACAAATCACATTTTCAAATATGTTTTTAGATTTATTTATAATACTATTTATTAATTGATGTAATCTTGAAATAATATTTTTTTAACACTATATTTTGCGGTTGATTAATTATTACAACTTTCATAAATTTACAACTAAATTTAATAAACTTATTTTTTCTATTTGATCTCAATTATTCCAGAGAGATCAAATTGAATTTTCAATTACATTATATTCTCTTGCAATCGCTCGTTTGCTAGGCGCATCACTTTTTTTAAGTTTAGTTATAATTTCGACTCGTTGATCTTCTGATAAACTTTTTCATATGCCTTTAGCCATAAGAAGTAAGGATAAAAAAGTTGGTATAAGAGAACTGTGAATAGACAGCTAAATTTAAAATAAAGTTTTTTCAATGAAACTTGACTGATAAGTCGTTAAAACTTATTATTATCTGTTTAAAACAAGATTTATCATTTACTTCGATTCGAATTCGAACTATTTATCTATTTACATTCTGATAAAATCATTATCTCGAAATATTTATGATAAAAACTAGTTTTTAACTTAACACAGAGTTACGTTTTCTGATCTAATTACACTTTCAACAAAAAGCTCAGTAAAAAGTTGAAACACAAACCTTTTGGGCCTAAGCGCGAAATTAACTGGAATGCGCAACTAATTGGGTGCGCAATTAAGCGAGAGACTACAGTACTGTTTTAGTGGTTTTCATCATAATAGAGCCGTTAGTGGTTTCCATTATAATGAAAACAGATGCGAACCGGTAAATGTAGAGCTAAACATTTTTGTGAAACAAAAATATAAAATCTACAGAATAGGAAATAGTTTAGAGATAAATAAGTTTATAAGTTAATATTTTGTGTTCTATGAAGTGTACGTAAAGTGTACGCTGAAGTATGTTCTAAAAAAATTAATATTGTTTGTTTAATTTGGGTTATTACCCAAACAAAATGAATTTGTTCTTTTTTAACTAAAACTTTATAAATTTTATGCATATAAAAAATACAAAGACAGACTAAAACACAAACAAAGCATTAGGAAAAAACGATTTATTAACATATTATAAATACTCGTAACTAAGATACGTAAATATTTTACAAAAGTTAGTTTTATAAAACGCGTAATCTTTGGCAGATATTGTTTGACATATTTACAACCTTTCATACTTTTATTTCTATAAATATATTTAAATGCGTACTTTATTTCTAATATTTAAACAGAAAAATACAAACAACTACTTTGTAACTTGGGTCCCAACTAAACGAGAACCTATTCCAGAAATCTTTCTTCTCAATGATAATTTATTACTTGCATTTTTAACTTCCGGTTGTTTTGCGCTGTTTAAACCTTTTATATTTTGTTCTAAGTTATTTGTTAAATTTTGATCAAAATTAGGTTTTGGCAAAAGGGTCGAAAGAAATGATTTTCTTCTTCCCGGAAGAGTTTCTTCTTCCAATTCATCGGAACTATTTTTTAAAAGTAGTAAATGGGAAAAAAAGAGTCGTGTAAAAGAACCATGAATTTCATCATAATTTTCGGCTGCAGAACATTCAATAAACTTCATACCAAAAGTCATTGCTAAATTTTTTGCTTCGCTCTTCTTGACAGTTCTAAAGTGTTTCAAGTCTTTTTTGTTTCCTACAAGCAAAGTTAGTTCAGAGCAAAGTGGTTTTATGCTATGCAATGCATTTAATATATTACGTGCCACTAAAAAGCTTCCATAATCTGTTATTGAATACACTACGACAATTACTGTTGCCCAATTTATAAGCTTTTGAGGATTTTTTATCCATTCCTATAAATGAAATAAAAGAATTATAAATATTTTCTATTATCTCTCTCTCTCTCTCTCTCTCTCTCTCTCTCTCTTTCTTTCTTTCTCTCTTTCTGTCTATTTGTGCTCCCCTTGCTCTGCCTTTTCATTTTTATATATTTTTTATTTAATAATAAAAAATGATACCAATTTTGTTGTTATTTGTATACCAAGTTAAATATTTAAAAATACAGGATAGTATTTCATCAAATATATAAAAATAAGTTTCCTTGCAAAATATTCAAAATTTAAAATCGAAGTTTAAAAAGCAAATTGGATTTGTAGTTAAAGAAATTTATACTATTCTTGATTTACTTTATGTTACAAGATGGACAAGATAAGACTGAAAACAATGGACTGAGCTAGAAAGATAATAAGATTGTCTTTTCAAGTTTTTAAATGTTTTTAAAATTTGTCAACTATGAAGTTACCAGAATCTAGTAAAAGTTTTAGAACCTAGTGAAGCCACCAGAATCTAGTGAAACCTCCAAAATCTAATGAGTTTTTTTTTTGTTAAAAAATAGTTTTCTTACACGTTGTTATATGCTTAATAAAAACTAAAAATATATTGAAAAAAAGCATTTATATTTTATGTAAAATGTGTATTTACAAAACCCCATTTTATTTTTCATTAACAAAATGATTTATTTTTTAAATAAAGTAATATGCTGCTTTGCAATTAACATGAAGTAAGTTGAAAATGCAATTAACATGAAGTAAAAAAAACAACAAATAAAGATATTTTTGATGTTCGGTAGAACAACACTTTAACGTTTTTAAAACTTTTTACTAACTTTTTTGTCATCATCTAGTTTCTAAAAAACTAAAAATAATGTTGTTTTGTACAATGTTATTATAAACATAAAATCAATCAACCTTTTGTTCAGATATGCATTTTTTTGTATTGCATTCTACTCTATGCTCAAGCCCCACAAGCAAGATGCTTCTTAACCTGAAATAGTCGTTTCTTATGAATGCATAAATTTTCTTTACTAAAGTTTTAACTTTTTTTAAAATGATTTTTAAGCTTCTCTATTAAATTAAAAATTAAAAGAATATTAAATGGTTGTTGCGAAAGTGCATTTTATTAAGAAGTTCCATTTTTTTTTTTTTTTTTTTTAATATATATATAATATTTTTTATTATATATATATATTTTTATTATATATGAGCAGCCGTGACGCAGTGGTAGCGCACTTGCCTCAGAAACAAAAGATCAGTGGTTCAAACCCCACCTCTACGACATCGGTTAGGAAGGAGGCGTGAACTTCCAATTAAAACCTCGTCCGCGGTGCTCTAAGAGATAAGAGCGTAAGGACTTCTTGAGGCACCTAAATAAATATAAATATAAATATATATATATATATATATATATATATATATATATATATACATATATATATATATATATATATATATATATATATATATATATATATATATATATATATATATATATATATATATTTATATATATATATACAAATATATTAATATATATATATATATATTTATATATATACAAATATGTTGTATATATATATATATATATATATATATACAAATATATATATATATATACAAATATATTGTATATATATATATATATATATATATATATATATATATATATATATATATATATATATATATATATATATATATATACAAATATATATATATAAACAAATATATTGTATATATATATATATATATATATATATATATATATATATACAAATATATATATATAAACAAATATATTGTATATATATATATATATATATATATATATATATATACATATATATATATATATACAAATATATATATATATATATATATATATATATATATATACAAATATATTGTATATATATATATATATATATATATATATATATATATATATATATATATATATATATATATATATATATATATATATATATATATATATATATATATATATATATATTTGTTGTTGTTGTTCTTTATTACATTTACAAGATAAAAATAAAAAGTAAATGACAATAAAAAAATTACAAAATTAGATCGATAAAAAGTAAAAGAACGCGGGACTCTTAGGTCTTGTCGTTTTTATCTTTTGACAAATACAAATCATGAAAAGAAACTGGGGAAAGAATTGATTTTACATAAAAACATAGTACATTATAAACATTAAGTTGATATATATTTGGTGCATTCATTTTTCTTAATAGAGGTTTTGCATGCGTAAAACGTTCATATATATGTATGTATAATGTATATGTACATATACATTATACATACATATATATGAACGTTTGTCATTATTTTATACATATGCATATATACATATGTATATATGCATATGTATAAAATAATGAGACATTCAATTTTAATTTTAAATTTATAATTTTATAATTTTCATTCTTAGTTTTAATGCTTAAACATATAACTTAAAACAAAGTTTTTGTCTAAAACCCATTAAAATTAAATCAATTTTTTTTAATGAACAAAAAAATTGCCATTAAAATCCATTTTTTGGATTGCGGTAATTTATTGGATATGTTACAAAAAAAAAACACGCTTCAAGACTAGTATATAACAAAAACAAATTTGCTAATGCTCAACCCTTATTGAAACAAATGAACGCACTAAATATATTTCAAATAAATATTTTTCAAAATATACTTTTCATGTTTAAACTAAATCTGGTTCCAGAATATTTTACAGCACACTTTTTTAAAAACAATATAAATAAATACAATACAAAAGCAACTTTAAGATACCGTTTGAAACAACAAGACCTCAAAATTCTCAATTACATATCGTGGTCCCTATTTATCTAACAAATTAGTTTCTAGAAACGAATCAATAATAAACCTAAACAACGAACACTCTCTGAAAATAAAGCTAAAATCTATAATAATCAAATTAAACAACTATAAGGAATTTTTTTAAAATATTAATAAAAAAAATTAAAAAAATTTAGCTTAACTTTTAATAGAAATCGATAATAAAAAATAATAATATTAATAACAAGGTATATATGTACAACATACATATATACCACGTATGCAACTGATTTTTATGTGTATTACACGTCCAGAAACAGGTATTTGATGACAAAACTGACTTAAGTCTTCTGCTAGCTCCCTATTTTTTTAGTAAGATATTAAACACAATTTTTGATACAGTGTCTGTGTAAATATTTTAGATTCCTGTGAAATATTTATAATTTCTGCTTAAATATTTTTAATTCCTGTAAAATAAAATACTTTATATTTCTAACTAATATTTGTAATTCCGCTATAAATACTCCTAATTTTTTACTAAATATTTGCAATTCTGCCAAAATAGTATTGTGTTTTGGTAATAAAAATATTTGGTTAAAAAAAAGGTTAAATAAACTGCGTAATAGTCGTATTAATATCCTTTCCCCGTCAATCTGTTATATTACGTCACACTGTTGCTGTGCCGCAGCAATTTTCCGCCTATTCTTTCAAAATTCTCATCAGTGTGAGATTTAAGACAAATATTTTTTAATATGATTAAAAAAAGGTAATTCGAATTTATGTCAAAGATTTGGAGAAATACTTTAAATCACAGTTTGATAAGTTTTTAATAAATTTATATAAAGTTTTTATAAATTTATATAAAGCATCTTTTAATCTTTTTTAATTTATTTTATTAAATCCTAATTTAGAAGCATCATTTTGGAAGTAATTTGGATTTTATTGTCTAAAATTTTCATATTTGTTTGATAGTGAAGTGAAACTTTATGCAGTTCATAGTTAGAGTTTAAATTGTAAACATTTGTTCTGATTTTATGGCAGATATTGCTGATTGCCTATTTTTCAACTTCTTGTTTATAACATATGTTGCAAATAAAATGGTAGGCAAACAAAGTTTGTACAAAAAAGCTTTTATTTTTGTAAAATATTTCAAAATATTATTTATATGAATTAAAAATCATCCTAATCTAGTTAAACATTGAAATTTTTTTCAACCTTGTAACAAAAACAGTAGTGCATCACTACTGTTTTTGTTACAAAATTTTGTCTTTTCATTTTTATTTCATCTTTATTTCATCTTTATGTTTTCTCTACGGTATCTTAAACTAAAAAAATTAAAAAAAAGTTTCACAATTTTTGTTTTTTATTTTTAAAAGTTTTTACTTTGTGTTATGAACAATTTTTATAAATCAACTTTTTTTTTTGTCGTTACAGTTGTTGTTTACAATTATTTTACATTATATTTTAGAACATTATTAAATTAATTTCAATTTGTTGTTGTTTTGCATTATTTTAAAGTAATTTTTATATATTTTTAACTTTCATTACGTAAAAACAATTTTATAACTAAGAAAAAAATTATTGCTGGAGACCCCTAAACTGTAATACGTACAGTCTCAAAAACAGATCCATGGTCATTCTCAGTAAACTGGTCATTGGTCAGTCTTATAAATATGTCCATCATTAGGTTTTTTAAAAATAATATCAAAAGTATTTTTGAGAAAAAATACTTTATTTACCACTTTACTTTTTCAAATAATACAACAATTGTTTATAAATAAAATTTTTAGGAAGTTTTATATCTAACAGTTTTAAGTTGAATTTTATATCCGTTGCATAACGCATTAACAGGTTTATACCCAGGGTTGCTTAAAATTATTAAATCTCGATTTGTATTTCCATAATAATGAATTTATTTTGTTGTAATTGAGAAGCAGTTTTAATTTTTCTACCATATCTTTTTCTGCAAAGAAATTCATTGTTACGATTATCATTTCTTTTCAAAAATACAAATAATAAATGAATAAATATATCTGCAAATAAATATAAACTAAAAATTTATTATGCTAAGAAATAAGCCTTTAATAATAATCTTTTATAATAAATTTTATTTTTGAAATATACCAGGAAATTAGCTTATTGGAGCAATCATTTTTTTCTATGCAAAGTTTCATTAAAATGATTTTATAAGCTTTATATTATTATAAACCAGTAATTTTTCCAATAAAGATTATTTAACCCGGCATATCCTACCAAACACGGTATCTTCTACCAAACACGATATCTTCTACCAAACCCGGCATCTCCTATCAAACACGGTATCTCCTATCTAACTCGGAATCTTCTAAATAAAACCTTTAATGTTCTTATTAAGATTTTAAAAGTGTTTTAAGCATTTTTTTTTTAATGTTGTTAACATTTTTTAATTTTATATATTCAGTACGAGCTGAAATCTTTTGATTATGCATTAAAAATTTTCAAGCAAAGTTAGAAATTATTTCGTAACCATTCAACATACGAAATTATTTCGAAACCAGACAATATACCAGACAATGCTTATTGTCAAGAATTCCGATATAAAAATCGGAATGACAAAATGCTCTTTTTTTTTTGCAGGAAAAAAAAAACTTTTTAACGAGTTACCACCACACAACAAGTTACGATCAGGCAACAAGTTACCATCAGACAACAAGTTACCATCAGACAACAAGTTATAATCAGACAACAAGTTACCATCAGACAACAAATTACCATCAGACAACAAGTTACCATCAGACAACGAGTTACCATCAGACAACGAGTTACCATCAGACAACGAGTTACCATCAGACATTTAAAATACTCACGAACTCACCTTATTTAAGTGATACTTAAATAATCACTTTTTTGAAGCAATATGTATGTACATGATATGGTCATGAAAATTAGTAAAATGTAAATTTTACTAATTTTCTTACTTTTTTTTTAATTTTTTTTTAGATAAAAATGTTATTTTTTAACACGACACATGTTAAAAACAGATTGTATAACTAAAAATGTTTAACCTGTATAAGTATCAATTTATTAAATAAATAAGTAAATAAATAATCAAAGTATGAGAGTATAAGTAGAAACATTTTGAGAAGATATTTGCAAATATGTATAATGTATAAAGCAAATTATTATTTAAAAAATTTGCAAATATGTATAAAGTATGTAAAACACAAACGTGCATGATGTCATATTTGTATGATGTCATATTTGCATGATGACATATTCGCATAATGTCATGTTTATATTTAACAAACTATTAGTTTTAACAAAACAACACTTAACACTAAAAAAAGAAACTTTTAAAGCTAAATATATTCACGAACTACTCCAATAAAATCTCAAAATATCAAAAGAAATTGCTTTCAATTGTATCAAAAGATAATTGCGTTTTAAATAAATTTAAAATATAGCTTGTATTAATTTTTCGTTACTTTAAGTAATACATATTCTTCCAGAAAATAAGTTGTGATTATAATGAAATATTTAATATAATTAAAAATAAAGGGCGTCTTTACTTTTTTTTTTTTAATATTGTATGAGCACACTTTTTATATTTGGTGATTACACATGACATTTATCATAGCTACAGTAATATAGTTACAGTAAACCTCAAAAAAGAATATGAAGTCTAACACATAACAAAGTTTCAATTTGGCTAATATATAAATTTTAATATCTTCAAATAAACAGACATGTTTTTTGAGTTTTATAAAAATTCTAATTGCTGTTAAGTAGATGATACCTTTTCAGTAGTATCGTTTACTTGCAGTTCAACTTTTTTATCTGCTAATACAATTGATCTCTCAAAAATAACATCTAAAAAAATTTCAAACATTAATTGTTTCAAATATTTAAATTTTATCAAATTTAAAATTTATAAAATAATACATAATTGTCCAATAAACTATATTTAGGAAGTTAATGCATATCATAATAAAAAATCTCAACAAAATTTTAATGCATAGCATGATAAATTATCACAAAAAAGGCCTAATAAAATCCTATGGAATAAACCCTTGCAATTTTTACTATGAATAATAATATGCTGACGCAAACGTTTTTTTTTAATATAAAATAGTTTTGATAGAATAACTTTAGTACCTTGGTTAGAATCATATTCTCCAATAAATCTTCGTGTTAGAAATCTCACCGCGAGCGCTTGAATGTAATAAACATTTAAAAGATCTTTGAAGTTTAAATTAAAGTAAATAAAATCAGTTAAACCGTAGTAACGGTTTCAACATATAACAAATAAAACAAGCAAAATATCAATTAAAAATCAAATAAATCAGGTTCAAACCTGATTTTCCACTATTTTTTGCTCCACAAATTGCTAATCGAATTACAACTGGCTCATCTCTCATGGTTTTTGAAATATTTTGAGAGTCTTGTATTTTTTGAAGTTTCCTACAAGAAAACGTAAAAGAGGTTAATGTATCTATAGTAACAAATAAAGAAGCAAGTACTCAAATATTAACTTTCTCAAGGAAATGTAAACCCAAATAAAACAATAAAAGTAAATTCAAATGCTAAAAAATTATGTATAAATCTAAATGTCGTTTTTCGTTTAAATGCAAAGGATGAGTTTTGAAAAGAAAAATAAGATTTGAAAATAATTCGAAAAAAAACCAACACTTATTTAAAATTTCTTTCAATCTTTTTTTTTACAACTACTTCTCAATTTAAAAATTGTTTTCAAAGCATAAGAAAAACATAGGGCAAATATTGTTTACTTTAAGTGCATAAGCAAAATATTGTTTATTTTATTCTATCCATGTTATCGTCTTTTCTATATAACCTTTCTTTATCGTAAACTTATTTAATAGATAATTCAAAACATTAAGTCTATTAAAAATCTTACCATACCAGTAACTCGTAATAGTTAAATGTGAGAATGCAATATACCATGTAATGTGATAAAGTTTTTATTGCGTGAGAAAATTATATTACATATGAAAAAAGAGAAATTTATTGATAACATTTACATCATTAAATTTGAAGTTCTTTTACAGTTTTTTTTTTAACATTTTATTATTTTAACTATGATGTTAAAAATATCTTTAACTTCCCTTTTACAATAATAGTAAAACATTTTTTTAGCGCCAGTTTTTAAAATTCAGATCTTGTTAATGGTAACCTAGTAGGTATTTTTTTCGCAATATATTTACAATAAAAAACGTATATTTGCGTTTATGGGCGTAGACACTTGTTACGCTATGTTATTGAACATGTACTCGGAATACATTGTACGGAATACATTGTAATTTTGGCTTAGCATGTAAAAAATAAATTATGGTTTATTCTAACTTCTGCAATGGTGTACATTAAAACGTTGTTTATTGTAACATTTAACAGCTGCACATAGACATAACACTTAGCCGGCGTACACAAAAATGTTCTTAATTGTATCCAACAATAGCCGTTTATAAAAAAACTGAAATAGAAAAGTAATAAAAAATAGTTTTTAATAGTAGAAAAATTACTTACTTAGACTTTTTTTTAAGTTAGACTATTAATATCAAAAATGTGTAAAAATTCTAAATTCAACATTTTACTCACAGTCAAAAAATATTTAAAAAAAATGTGAATCCTTATATAAACTCACATTGTAAACTGATAAGAAAACAAATAATATATACAACTGATCCTACATAATTTTTGATGTTTATTAAAAACATACGATTGTGAACTTTTTTTGGTTTATTTAAAAAAAAACAAATGTTTGCATTTTAGACCATATCAATCAAAAAAAAATATATATATATATATATATATACATATATATATATATATATATATATATATATATATATATATATATATATATATATATATATATATATATATATATATATATATATATATATATATATATATATATATATATATATATATATATATATATATATATATATATATATATATATATATATATATATATATATATATATATATAAATATATATAACCAAAAAAAAAAAAAAAAAAAAAAAAAAGAGAATCGTTTGGGATATCTAACGAAGGTTCTAGTTTAAAACTATCAGTTAAAAATCATAAAACACCGGAAGTTATTTGCTATTTTTAATTAAAGCCTTTAATCAGTAGCTGTGTAATTTAAGTTCATAAATCTACAATCTACGTATATTTTAGTTTAAGAATTTCAACAGCATATTTAACATGATAGAAGCGCGGGCAATAGAGAAGCGCGGGCAATAGCGCAGGTTCTCAAGTGCTCAGGAGTTAACCCAGTTTTAGCTTTTAGCTTTTATTATATTGGTATAACCTTGCAAGTTTGTGCATCAGTTTTTTATGCTTTTAAAATACCATCGAATTAAAATTGATGACTAATTAAAATAAAAATTATAAAATGATAATTTCTTTTTTACATATAAATAAATTATTTTTTAAAATAGGTCATTAAATTTAAAACTGTTATAATAAACGCACAAAAAAAGTAATGTATGGAAAATGTGGAAAATCCGTACCCCATAACGAAAAATTGTGATAAAAAAACAAAAGTAGAAAAAAGTTTATTTTCACAGAAAATTAAAGCTTAAAGCCTAAAATATGTAATTTCAACAGAGCCTTGAATAAGCAGGGCCCCATCTTGTTTAGGGGCTCTGATATAAAACTTTTTGGTTTATGAAAATTTTAAAATTATTTCTGAAAACTTGTTCAGAATGTTTTTTTTGCGGGAATCTGATGAATGTAAGTTTTCATTAATGAAATTAAGAAACAGACATAACAATAAATTTCACCCGTCAATTAATTGACAGATGACAGCCGGTGAACCGGCAGTCTTCTGTCACGGGTAAAAAAAATTAATTTGGTTCAAAGGAAGACGCTTAAAAGTCACATTCCGTTTTTGAATTTATAGCTGCATTTTTGACAAACCAAGTTTATATCATTTTTGTAATTTCTATTGAGTTCTTTTTTAAACTCTTTCTCAAAGAATTTGTCGACAGCGACATATCAAGATTTTTAAGTAACAACGAGTTATTGACAGCTTACATTATAATCTCTCTGTCTGAAACCTTAATTATAATGAAAACATAATTATATTACAATAGTCTGTGCAATTCATTGTGAATTGTGTGATAAATTATGTATTAAAAAAAAAATTTAATTGTTTTTTTTTGAAAAATAAAATTTTTTGAACTTATTGCTTTAGTTCAGTCGAATTAAATAAGACTTGGATAACTTTTCCACGGTTACATGAATATAACTATTTAAAATTGTTATAAGAGATTTTATAGACTCTCAATAGACATAATGATAAAGAAGTAAATAATAATAATATCCAAATTTATAAGAGTTTTTTTAAATAAACCTGGAAAACAAGGTCTTGCAGGCCCTCTTCTAAATTCTCTAAATTGTAGAGAAGCGAAATGAAATTTCAGTTTTAAAAGTTTGTTTTATTTGATCATATTTATAAGTTAATCGATCTCCTCTTGCTGAGAAAAAGAAAAAAAGTACATAGAAAATCTGTTTTAAACACCTAGGGGAGAGTCGGGTAGCCCCAGACACTTTAGGAAAATATAGATTGTTCACATGTTCTAACATAAATCAAAGTGTCAAAAGACTTTTTTTAAAAGTCATTAATCTATCGAATTAGAAACAAACATTCATCTATCGAATTAGAAACAAAAAAATAATTATTGTGTATCTTTATAATATACAAAACATAAAAGAAAAATGTAAGAAAAACGGCATGTTTCAAAATTGGAGGGACATATAGTTTAAACATGATTTTTCCTCTTTTTTACCAGTGTGACATAAATTTAATATATAATAATTTAGCATTGGACTGTTCTCGACACATTTTAAAAGAAATTGCCTTTAAAATTTGCCACCGATACATGAGGAATGAGAATGAAAATGTCATAATTTAAAAATATAAACATTGGTTTTTTATAATGGAAATAAACCCTTTAAAAACACTTTTTTCAAATCTAATGTTTTTTTATTGGAATTAAATGAGTTACTATTATAGGTTTGTGCATTATGTTAAATGTATTAATATTTATATAAAAAAAGTTGTTTATTATTATTATGTAAACGAATTAAGTTGTCCGGAGTCACCCTCCAATCATGTGTCCGATACCACCCGATCATACCTCATTCACAAATACTAGTTTTAAAACCAGTGAATTAAAGTTTTAAACTGATTTTTTTCCTAATAACTGTTGTAAATTAAAATGTTTAATCATTAAAAAGTTAATAGTTTACATAACAATTAGGTGTATTAATATGTGAATCAAATATGATTATACGTTGCTCTTCTGGTGGTGGGAAACAATATCTTGCCCTCCCAGTCATTCGCTTCGGCATATTATGATAGATATTTTGCATATGCCATATTTTCACTCAAATAATGTTATTATAGTATATACATCAAGTGTCCGGAGTTATCCGCCGTCCGGGGCTACCCGACTTTCCCCTACCATATATATAAACATATACATGCATATTAAAGTTTATATACAGTGTAGCTTAAAGTTGTCTGTTGATATCTAATAAAATCAGTGGAAAAAGTGAATATTTTGATCATAATAAATAGGTATTATTTGCTATTTGATAAAATTGTTTGATACCTGGACTAGCTAAAAATAGTACAGCTATCAAATCAAACACCAATTCAATTGCTATAATATACACCAATCCAATCTCTAATGTCGCACGGCTAATATACCACGGCTACACATAAATGTTATTATTAAACCCCATGTTTGTCAAACTTTAACTTAATCAAAAAGCGACATGGCGTGGGATCAAAATTATGCGTTAAAATCTCTTCACTTTTTCATAAACATTTTATCCTTAATTTCCGCTTCTCTTTAGGAACAAAAAGTAGTCATAGTTTATAAATACCGTTTTATTTTTTGATAATTTTTATTTGTGACATTAGGGGCGGGAGAAGGTATTCAGCAAATTAGACATGGCGAGCGAGCCTTTACGGGTATCTAGGGGAGGAGGGGGGCCCTGATAATAGACTTTTTACATTTAACATACCTAAAAAAGTGTTATTAGAGCATCAGAAAAACTATTTTTAATATAATAATATAGCAAAAAGTAGGGTATTGTGGTTTATTTTTAAATCGACCGAAAATTTTCAAGCATTGTTCCCTGTCTTAAATAATGTCAATCAGATTTAAGCTACTGTTGTTTTTTTTGATAGTTTAAAATCATAACATTATTCAGTCTTTCTTGTGTCATGGTGCTTTGGAGATAAATCTTGTAAAGGTTGTAAGATTGTTGCAAGCCGCTAAAGTGAAAATAATCTTTTTATAATATGTTTAGAGATTGATGGTTGATGATGCTTGATAATGATTTGCCTCTAACAGTCAATCTTGTCGGACAGAATAAACGAATGTTGAAGGATTCATTTAATTTAAATTCAACTTTAATTCGACCCAAATCATCATTGCATTTAGAACATACCGGATTAACTTTGAAACATTTAAAAAAATATGTCAAGATGCTGAGTCTAAACCATCATGACATATTTTAGACTTTTTGATGGAATCTCTAACTGCAAGATTTAAAGCATGAACATAACAACGGGTTACTACTGCGCAAGATTTACCACGGAGTACCTGTGTTGCGACGCCATTAATTTTTCCAACCATATTTGCATTGCCATCATAGCATCGCCCTCTGCATTTATTTAGCTTAAGGGACATGCTTGTAAGGACATCATCGATAGCGATAACCAAAGTATTGTAGTCTATTTTGTCTACATTGTAGAATCCAATGAAGTCTTCTTACTCAATAAGATCCACCCACTTGATACACAACGCAAATTGCTCACGATTTGAAATGTCTATACATTCATTATATAACTTCGATTTAGGGATACATTCCTACTAATTTCTCTGAGAACATGAATATATGAGAAAATGACAATCTTTTTATGCATTCATTCCAGTGCCGATCCGGCTCTGGAATGAATGAATAAGGAGGGGCTATAGCCCCAGGCTCCAAAAGTTTTGGGGGCCCCCAAAAATTTTAGAGGAGCCTCCAAAAACAAAAAAATCCCCGGGCCCCAAGAAGTCTTAATCCGCCACTGATTCATTCCGAATCTTTCCAGAAATGTACTTATTCTTTTTTTTCTTCCCACTTGCTCAAGCCTGGACAGTAGTTGCACCGCAATTTCAATAGCTCAAAAAAATGATTGTCTTCATCATTGTAAAGACCACAAAGTGCTATACCTTGACGAGAAAGCAAACACTTTGTAAAATGTTAAAGAACATCTCTCTGTTTATTTTCTTGTCTTTCTGGTGCTCAGAGCTTAGCATTTCACCCACATCTTTGTTAATGAATTTAAAACGAAAGTTCACTAGAGCCAAGTTCACGCTCGTCGAACTAAAAAGACTTTGGTGGGTGGAATTCGAATGGTAATACTTTATTTTTAGAGGTAGGGTCTATATAAGCTTTTATATAGATATAATTCTAAAAATGACTCTTTTTAGTACTTAATATATCTTTAAAATTATTTTGATTTATGATTTACATTTAAAGAAATGATATAACTATAAAAATGTTATAT